GAATAATTTTAAATCAAATCAAATCAATGGCAAGTATCAAAGACAAATGATACAAGACGTTCGCAAGGATATACCTCAGTTCATAAGTTGATTAATGGTCGAGTTCATAACGAGTGTCTCAATTAACATACGCAATGTGGTCCAACCGTAATTTGGGGACTCTAGGAACTCTTTATTACCACAGCCCTAGATCAACTTGCGCTCCTTACGAGAGTTGTGGTCTTATTAGAAGTAAATTGGCTTTCTCTTACACATTTGCCTTACAGTTTTGAAGATATGAGAAACAACTGAACATAGTGAAAGCAGAGTTAGATAAAAGTATCTCCTCCTACTAATGTGCTACATAATACAGTAGTACGATCTTGATAGCTGGGGTTAGTGAATATCTCTTGATAAGCAAAATAGTTTTTCATACTAGAAACTATTTTTTCACCGATCGTTCCTATTGCAGCCATATGATATAGTGGTTCGGCAATTGAAAGATGAACCTATGCAAAGATTCAAGACTCTTTAGCTTTAAAACTGGGAGACTAGTTTGCAAGGAAATAGACAGACGGACGGATGGACATTGTTCTTAATGCTGATACTTTATGGGACAAAGGATTTTATTAAATATGTATGTAGTGATAAGGGCTTAGTTATATTATAAAGTGTAAAATAGAAAATAATTGTATTTGTGTCTATAACGATTATCTGGCATACCATTTAGGTATAATTATGCGAATCATAGGACAGAAAAATATATAAACAAACAATATATAAAAATACAATATTTAACAATATATGTTTAGTGATGTAATGAAATAAATATATGCATAAAACACATATATGAAGCATATATGGCACAATTACGCGAATCAATATGCAGTTCCTTGGACCTGAAAATTGCCCTAAACCGAAACTCCAACAAGAACTCGACGCAATTAGCGGGTTTGGAGATGGGATTTGGGCAAACTTTAAGCAAATTTTGTTGTCGCTTTTGTTATTGTTCCCCTCGTTGTTGTGCCCCTCTTTGTTGTTGCTGTTGTGCTGGCCGCCGTTTCTTGTTATTGCTGGCAATTAAAACGCACACACCCCTGTGCGCCCATTGGCGGCCACGCCCATCAAGCGCGCATAAACCGTTGTTTGATAATGTTAAAGTGGCGCGCAAACAAATCAAAAAGCATATTGAAATTGGGTTAATGTGTGCAGTCGTCCTGGGCTAAGGACACTGCGTCTACTGTTTACTTTACGGGTTATAATCCCAAAATGAAGCGCGGCCGAAGCATTAAAATCTGCGCAACAGCCCACACCACCCACACCATCCACATCCTCCCCCCGCTTCAATGCGCCCAACGTCGTTGGCTGTTGTTTCAAGATAAAACTTCATGTGCGTTGGAAAAACAACCAAAAAGAGTGCGCGCATTGAGGGGGTGGAGGTGGTGATGGGGTTGGGGAGGGATTGGCTAAAGTAAAGCGAGGGTTGACTCACATTTTGACAGTGGCAAACACTGGCAGCAGGCACTGTATATATGTATATGTCTTATCGTTAGCCTTTATGGCAATGTCATATGTTACGCACATTTAAAGCGTATGTTGAATTTTCCATCACCTGATAGCGCAGGACGAGCGGGACGAGCGGAACGCACAGGACCTGCCGCTGCTGCTGTGTGGGAATCTGCCGCATATATGTACATATATATACCCTACCTGAACAGCTTCCCAGTTTCTCACACTTAGTGGCCAATGCGTTTACATGTGCTGCGCGTTTTTTCCCGCTTTATCAATTGGTCCATTGGAAATACCCGCTTGTCGTGAGCGTGGGAACTGCTTAAGACTGGCAAAACGCTTGGCCTCTACGGCGTATCCAGAATTTCTTGGCATATAGTGCTGTATGGCCGAGCCGAGCCGAGGCGTACATATTACCTGTCGCGCGACGCCGTTGCTGCATGCTGCATGCCGCATGCCGCATGCAGCGCGCAGCCGCAACACCCACATTAACAGCGGCCCAGCGTAGGAGCGAGACGAGCGTTCAATGTGCTGTTAATTGCTTTATGGCTGCTGCTTTTACTATACATAGAGATGTATGTCTATTTAGTATATTTAGCTATTTTTATATATATTTGCTTTTTTTTTTGGCAGCGTGGGAATCTTTTTTGCATGTTTACCTGTCGTCGAACGGGCAACTCCTACGCCGCTTTTCTCTTTCTCTAAATCTGTTTCTCTCTCTCGCCACAGCGGCACAGGCTAGTTCAAGTTCAGTGATCGGGTTTATTTTTAAACTTTTCTATTTATTTTGGACATTTGCCTTTAACAAGATTAAGGTCAAGCTTCGGCTAAGCAGCGCCAGAAGCGTGAAGCGACTCTGCGTGTCTGTTTGTTGGTTTTATGCTCTTTCCCGGAAGAGTGACATTACTTTGTGGCGCAGCCAGTGCAGCACATAAGCAAAAGAAATTGTACACTCAACAAAATTTGAGTTCTTTTTTGTCCGGGAAATCAGAAATTTGTTTTTGCTAGTTCGCCTTATAAGAAAATAGGTTTCCCATTGGTATCTCTAGGCCGAAATTGATATAAATATTGAGAAAAGTAAATATTTTACAGCTAAAAATTTATTTTTTAAAAGCAGAAGGAAATATTGCGCAACTAAGTAAATTTCTAATTTTCACTTCAATCAATTCTATAAATGGCAAAATATTAATTTGATTTTCTAATTAACATATATTAGAGTTGTGCAAATTTAACGAAAGGGATGCTCAAAAATTATTTGAGATCTAGATATTTTATCATACACCTTATGGGAATTTTTTTCCCCGCTTTTGAATGCAGCGCCAAAAAAAAAAAACATAATTTTAAAACATAATTTAAAAAAATTTATATTATAGGTGAAAAAAAACACTTGATTTCAACATTTTTTTCAATTGTAAAACTTAAATAATTTTTTACCAAAATGTTGTTGAATATTTATTGCGCGACACATTGTAGAAAAGAGTATTAATCGATTTGGGTATTCAAATATGGTTTCTACTAATCAACTCAATTTCTTGTAGACATTCAATGACATTCATTCTGACTTGCACTATTTCTTTTTTGCCTGCTTCTTATGTTTTATGGGAATTTGTCTTATTTCCGCTCGTTTTCATTAGGCATATTAGAAATATGCTGCGATTGAATTATGTGATACCAATTTATGACTGCACTATATGAGTATATACAATATGTACATATTCTGAACCATTTTGACCCACTTAGAGGCCATAAACTATCATTAGCTAACTTCTATGCGCATTACAATAGCTTTTCACAAAAACTTCCCTACCACGGGTTGGTATTTAGTAACAGCCGCGGTCAACTATGAATACCCTGCCGCATGAAGACTTCCGCGCAACAACAACAACAACAAGTATAGCCACGCCGGATATGAACGACCTAGGCGGCACTTCAGACGCGCATGTTGTCACATTTGAGTTGCGGATTAGCGGCGCGCTGCTCTTTAGGATTATGATCATTTAGCAAATCTGTTGCTCCTGTCGATATACATACCTCTCTCGTGTGCGCGGCGTTTGGTTGCGATTTGGCACAGGACCCGGGCCCAGTCAGGGCAGCTGAGCGACTTTTGACAAATGTCCCATCTTAATGCCCTTTTAGAGGGTGCTGTCATTTTGGCATCGAATGTGACGCCTATAAAGTGATAAGTAACAACAGCCGAGTTGATGTAGTCATGACTTGATTCGTCTTTGTACAGCAGACATATGTCTAAATCGGACTACTATATTCTAGAGCGAAATTCGATCGTAATTTTAGTTCTGTAAAAAAATAAACCTTATTTGATTTGAAATATAACTAGAACAGTGTTGAGATTTGGTCGAAAAAGAGATTTTGATTGACAAATTTTGTCATGAGACAAAACTAAGAAGAATGTAGGGCAAACATTTGATTATCGAGCAACTATGTCATATAGCTCTTATGGGGATAGCCCGTCAAAAAAGTTGTTGTAGTAAAACTCCTTATCAAACTCTACAGTTAAATGTTTTATTTAAGTGCTTGACCAAATTCTTATAGATATCGAATTAGTATATAAACAAATTCGCATGTTAAGAATTAATTTAGCTTCTTACATAAAATTCTCACTATACACATATTTGCAAAAACCGTATTTGAACGGAATACTAAATTGTATGACAGCAATTGACCGGTCTGAAAGAGTATTTCTGCTTCGGCGTGCAAAAGTTGCACATTATTTTCAACAATTTTCTTTTCTTACTCTGCCCTTAAAGTAACCATTGGCAAAGCATAAATTTGTTTGCCATAAACCAAAATTGTTTATCATCTGCGATTTATAGCTGCCATACATACATATATACACATATATCCAGCTAGATATTTCATTCATGTCTGGTCAACTACGTGACCTATGTCAATGAGCTTGTAATTACGTGCGAATTCTTGCAATGCCTGCTGCTAAATAGCCAACTCATAGATACAAATGTAGGTGTGGGTGTGGGATGGTTGGCCAAAAAGTCAGCAGGAGCCATGCCATGAATTCTTGCCAAAAACTGCGCCAACATCACGTTCGAAACTATTTTATCAATGGCAAAGAAGGCAACGTTCAAAATGCGGCCAAAAAAAGTAAAACTGGCCCTGACCGTAACGAACTGCACAAACACACACACACACACACACACATATATATATATATATACATAAGGGCTGGGTTTGCAAAATAGGTGTTGTACATTATGTACAAAAGTCAAAACTGCTGCGGCAGTCGCTGTCAACCTGTTGCTAACATACACATATTCATACACAAACACACAGAGAGACACCCGCCCAGCAGTTCCGGTTGCCATTGAGCATCAATGGAAATTGGTAATATGGCCAAAAAGTCAATTGGTCTGAATACCAGGCAAAGAGTCTATTACCTGCGCCCACTAAGCTGGCCAATGGCTGCTACAGTTTAGCAGGTAGTCGAATCCTGAGCAAAATCTCTCTTAAAACTGACTGCACAGGACGAAGTGCGCTCAGTCGCAAACAGGTGATCGTCGTGCTATGAGCAAGTGCTGCAAAGTGTTTCGAGAAGACTCTATAAAAAATAAAAAGAATTTACACCTTATTTGTGTGCTTGAACAAACTTAACCAAAATGACGAACCATCGTCGTGTGCGCAAGGATTGCTACGAGAGCCGATTGCATGGTTTGTGCTCCTGGGAAAATAAGAACAGAAATAAACAAACAAACATCAAATACTCTAGCATATGTAAAGCAGCTTTGTGAGATGATTATTATATGTTATTCAAAGCCGATTTCTCGTTAGTTTTGTGATATCTATCCATACACCACGTGTTTTTTTTTTCAAATTCGAGCGATTGTCCCCAGATAAGTTATATTATCATATCTTAATTGCCCGATATTAAAGATATATTGTCGCTTACATTTCAAATCTATTGTGAATCCCATGGATTCTATAAGTTACACCATAGTTGTTCGATATTGGTATGTTTTTGTCAAATTGAATGATCACAATGGAGCTTCTAATTGGAATGTCTGTTAAAATTAACCCGTAATAATTATATAGTTGTTTATAGAAGTGTTTTTTTATATATATTAAAGTCCAGCTGCATAATATAGTGGTTCGACATGAACGACATCGGCATATGTATTTCCAAAAAATTGTCTATACAACATTTTTGAAAACATATTATTCCATTTTTTCCTAATTTAGGAAATATTTCCTATATTTTGTATTTAATTATATTGTATTTAAAAACGGTTTATCCTAAATTTTGGAAAAATTATAGTTATATATGTTCCTAAATTCAGATATATTTTATATTTTTTTCACTTAATCATATTTTTTTTGTTTTCTAATTCGAAGAAAATATTTATTAAAAGAAGTTAATTTCATGAACATTTATTTGATTCTTAAGATAATTATCAAAATAATATTTGAAATCTAGAAGATATGAGAGATGTCTCTTGCCTGTTACAAGCCGAATTTCTTGTAATATCTTTTTTGATAATTGGATTTACTAAAATGGTGCATATTTTTGTCGATATCCCTTGCAGATATAGCCAAAACGTGTGCCATGAAGGAGAAAAGCAAAAATGCGGCACGCACGCGACGTGAAAAGGAAAACACGGAATTCTGTGAATTGGCCAAATTATTGCCATTGCCAGCGGCGATTACATCACAGCTGGACAAGGCATCCGTCATACGTTTGACCACATCCTATTTGAAAATGCGCCAAGTTTTTCCGGATGGTAAGTGGGCCAAGTCCGCCAAAGTTTTGCACTCAATACTTTTAGTGCACACAGATCTATACAAATGCCAATTAGTTCAATTAAATGTGCCGCTCGATTTGCTGTTGTTGGCTTTTCATCTGTGTGCGGCGTGTGAATTACGTGTCAAATGATCCGGAATCCGGTGACAGCCACGCGGCCGGCACGCTCATTACGCTTTGACACACACACACACACACAATAACACACATATATATACACATGTCCTGGCAAGTCACAGCAGGATATTGCCGCACGGCCTTTGTTAATTTAACGCGGCGCAAAAATAACAAGACGACCAAAATTTTCAAGTTTAAAAGGCGAAATGTTTGCTTAAAGCATATGCTTAACGGAAAAACCACTCAACAATGCGCAGACAATAAACAACCAGGTGGGGGGCTGGGTGTGGACCTTAGCTAGGGGGGCGTGGGGCTGTGTGGGTGGGAAGCTGGTGGCAGGCAGGAAAACACAATGGCGGCCTGTTGTTCCACTCAAAAAGCAGCGAGCAGCGAGAGAGCGACGAGACGTTCACTGGAAGTGGATGCCCAGTGGGTGGCGCTGGGTGGCATGTATCACTGTGTGTGTGGGTGGATGGGTGGATGGTTGGTTGTGTGTGTGCGACGCTGAGATTTTGTGCTGACTACGAGGGTTGCATGCAAGGCCCTACCTAAGGGTTGGGGTGATTGTTGTTGTTGTTGTTTCTGTTGTTCCATTGTGCGCAGCGTTTTGTGCTTTTCTCTTTTCTGTTTTTTTTTTTTATTTTGTGGGCTTTATTGAAATAATTATTTTAATAATAGGCAACAAACAACGCGCAAGGAAGTGCGCGCACATTGTGCCCAGGAACAAGCCAACAACAACAACAATAGAATCAAGGAACCAGGAGATGACATGAGAATGCAATGAATATCGCCTGCTTGCGCCTGGCCGGGGCTGTGAATGGGCCACCTACGGCGCTGATGACTTTAATTGGGAATAATATTTAGACGTCAACTGTGTGGGCAATGTGGGGGGCGTCTGGGCGTGTGCCGGCACAGACTTAGTTGACAGTCTGTTAAAGGAGGCCATGGGAAAGTTTGTTTAGCGGCAATTTTAGAGCAGTGAATGGCTCTAAACGTAGCTGGAAAAAGTGTTAACCAAACAAGTTGCATGACAAATTTACAACTTAGTTGCAAATTTTACAACCGACTTGTAAATTTTATAATTTTGTTAAATTCAATTTATTATTGTTATAATTATTTTTTAACATTATAGATTAACCCTACAAAGTACCTGTCAAATTTACAAACTAGTTGAAAATTTTTAAGCCATGTTGTACATTTTAAATAGTTTTAAAATGCAATCTGTTACGTTTGTTATATTATTACATTATAAGTCGTACTAGCCATACAACATATTACATATATTATTATAGTATATAGATTAACTAAACAATCTACATGGCCAATTTCTAACCTTGTTGCAAATTTTGTAACCAAGCTGTACATTTAAAGTATTTAAAAGTACGGCTCGTCTTGTTGTCCATTCGTCTGCTTGTATAAAAACAAATTTGGTTTCGTTCTTAGTTTTCGTTCAATGTTCGATTTTGAAATAAAAATATATTAAGGTTATTTAAATACATTTATATTGCTTAGGAAATAAAATATTGTAATATATCGAATTAATTAACAAAAATATGTTTAACCTGTTTGCAGGACTCGGTGAAGCGTGGGGCTCCTCGCCAGCAATGCAGCGCGGCGCAACCATCAAGGAGTTGGGCTCACATCTGCTGCAGACACTGGACGGCTTCATCTTTGTGGTGGCACCGGATGGCAAAATCATGTACATCTCGGAGACAGCCTCGGTGCATTTGGGTCTCAGCCAGGTGGGTGTGTTTGCTTGGCAGAAATCGCTTGATTTATGCGCATAAATTCCGTTGTGAATGCCCTTTCTGTGCCCGGGCCACTTGCATTTGCAAGTCAACGAGCAGCTGCGTGGGCGTCAAATGGCGCACGGACACGGGCTCGGAATTTGCATTTGCAGTGCGCACTAATTGGCACTTGGGTGGCAGGAGCTGGCATTAATTTGTTTGATTTCTCTATACACGCAGGTCGAGCTGACGGGCAACTCCATATTCGAGTATATACACAGCTACGATCAGGACGAGATGAATGCCATATTGTCCCTGCACCCGCACATGCATCAGCATCCAGTAAGTAGCCCCCACTCCCTCACACACTCTCGCTTTCTGTCTCTCTCTCTCTCTCTTCAGCTGTATCTGTTTCTCTGTCTCTGTCACGTTTTACTCATGCCACAGGCTGCCTTTCTCAACTCCCTACAGCTCGCCCAGACGCACACGCCCATTGGCAGCCCGAATGGTGTGCAGCATCCGGCAGCATATGGCCACGATCGCGGTTCCCATACGATCGAGATCGAGAAGACCTTCTTCCTGCGCATGAAATGTGTTTTGGCCAAGCGCAATGCGGGCCTCACAACCTCCGGCTTTAAGGTGAGTTCCGGCTTTTTATTACCTTTTTCTTCAGTTGAGGCTAATATTGGTTTATTTTTTCCTCAGGTGATACACTGTTCCGGCTATTTGAAGGCGCGTATTTATCCGGACTGTGGGGATGGCCAGGGCAGCCTTATACAGAATCTCGGCCTGGTTGCCGTCGGTCACTCGCTGCCTTCATCTGCCATTACGGAAATCAAATTGCATCAGAATATGTTTATGTTTCGCGCAAAACTTGACATGAAGCTCATCTTTTTCGATGCACGGTAAGTTAGAGTCCAGAGACTTAACTACTAGATTTAACATTTAAAACTAATATATGAAAGATAGGCCTAAGAATAACGTCCAGTGACCATATTGAATACATGTGTGTAGATTCTCGCCAGGATCGTGTAACTAATTAATTTTAAAGACAGACAGACAAACATTTTTTTGAAAAAAAGCCGATCATAAACAGCGAAAACGGGGACCTTAGTTAAAGTAAAGCTCGCCTTCTTTGTAACCAGGCCATAAAAGAGGCTCAATTTCCCTTAGAGCGAAAGCAACACTAGACAAATATTTAAACGGGTCGCAACAGAAGCAAAAAAGAATCTGTTAAAAAACAGCAAATACATCCCCTGGAACATCCCCCAAAACAGATAACGAACAAAAAAAAAACATATATAACAAAAAGAAATGAATCTATGCAAGACGAGGGGCCGCTCTGACAAAAAGGAAAACAAATCATTTCCCTCTTGAGCTTGATTTTGCTTTGTGCGCCTTGCTCCAAAGTGGGTGGAGGGCAGCGAGTAGGAGGCGGGGCGGGCCAGCCTAAGCAGAAGGCGGTTGCCTTTAAGTGCCTTTGCCCATACGGCGCAACCAGCTGCCCTGCCCTCCAACCAGACCACTTTGTCTGACATTATTGTCACTCAATTACCCTCATGATGTTCAGCCATGAGCCGCGGCAGCAATCTTCCGTCTCTTTTCCGCTTGAGTTGAATGATATCGTATAGACCAACCCCCACAGTGTAAGGCAGCCCTTTTGTGTGTGTGTGTGTCGGTCCGTGTGTGTGTGTGTGTGTGATAGCTGTTGTTTTTGCTGCATAATTGAATTGAAGTTGACAAAAGTAAACCGACCTACACACAAAGGCAACAACACCATTTGTTTAAATAAAAAATCAGAAGAAAATATGTATACTCGGTTTGTCGAAGTTTGAATACCCTGGAAAACGAAAATATTTTTGAAACGAAATGTTCCTATAATAGCTTTATAATCTATAATTTCGATTCGGCAAAAAGAGGTTTTATTCAATGATTTTTGAATATGTTTGAAAGCCACCTAAACTGAAAGAACTCAAGGATAGATTTACCGTATCAGATAGCAGATGTACCCTTCAATGCCTTGCACATTTCCTGACAAAATTCTAACACCCTTGGCAAGTGTATGGAAAACAACAAAAAGTGAAAAATATGTACATAACGCGTAACTTGAGTACATAACCTCAATCTCTGTGTACATAACCTCAACTTGTTTCATGATTTTTGTTTTGATTGCTTTAACTATTTATTTGTTTGCAGCGTATCGCAGCTAACCGGCTACGAGCCGCAGGACCTTATCGAGAAGACGCTTTATCAGTACATCCATGCCGCGGACATAATGGCCATGCGCTGCTCCCATCAAATCCGTAAGAAAACAATAACAGTAAGGCGTTATGCACTAAGCTAACGGTATAACACCTCCCTTTCCTACCCACTGCAGTGCTGTACAAAGGACAAGTTACCACCAAATATTATCGCTTCCTGACCAAAGGCGGCGGCTGGGTCTGGGTGCAATCCTACGCCACACTTGTGCACAACTCGCGATCCTCGCGCGAGGTCTTCATTGTGAGCGTCAACTATGTGCTCAGCGAGAGAGAGGTGAAAGACTTGGTGCTTAACGAGATACAAACGGGCGTGGTTAAACGTGAGCCCATCTCTCCGGCGGCCCAGGCGGCGGCAGTTGCCGCTGCGGCCGCCAGCGCATCGGCAGCGGCAGCAGCAGCCGCGGCGGCAGCAGCGGCCTCCGTCAGCATAGGCGCCACCTGCGTTGCGGCGCAGCAGCCGGTTACGAGCACGCCCGCGCTGAGCGTCAGTCCCAAGCTGGATCCCTACTTTGAGCCGGAGCTGCCGCTGGCGGTGCAGCCGCCGCCGCCCAATGCGGTCACGCCCGTGCCAACAAACAACAATAATAACAACAACAATAACAACAACAGCAGCTCCGGCGTGTGGCATCAGCAGCATGCCCCGCTGCATCAGCAGCAGGCGGGCAGCATGGATCACGACAGTCTCAGCTATACGCAGCTCTATCCGCCGCTCAACGATCTGGTGGTTAGCTCGAGCAGCAGTGCGGGCGGCGGCACCGCTTCCAGCGCCGGCGGCGGCTCCAGTGCATCGGCCTCATCCTCGGGCGTTTATTCAACGGAAATGCAATATCCGGATACGACAACGGGCAGCCTCTACTACAACAACAACAATCATTATTATTATGACTATGATGCCACGGTGGATGTGGCCACGTCCATGATGCGACCCTTTTCGGCCAACTCGAATAGCTGTTCGAGCAGCTCGGAGAGCGATCGCCAGCTGTCCACGGGCAATGCGTCCATTGTGAATGGCACCTCGCCCTCGCAGACTACCTACAGCGATCTGAGTCACAATTTTGAGCTGAGCTACTTCTCCGACAACAGCTCCCAGCAGCAGCAGCAGCAGCAACAGCAGCAACATTTGCTGGAGCATCAGCATTTGCAGCAGCAGCAGCAGCAACTGCACGCACAGCAGCAACATCCACAGCAGCAACATGCACATCAGCAATATCAGCAGCAGCAACAGTATGGCATGCATCAGCAGCAGCAGCAGCAGCAGCAGCAACAGCAGCAGCGCGTTGTCAGCGACTTTGCGGAGAGCTTTAAGAGCGTAAATGCCGCTGCGGCAGCAGCTGTTGCTGCCACGCCTCATTATACGAGCGTGATTGTTGAGCCGCAGCATTATATACCCAACGATTTTGTGCATTAGCAGCGCTGCGCTGTTGTTGTTGTTTTTAAAACGAGTCACAGACCAAGCCCTGCCCCCAAATGTTGTTGCAATGTTATTGATCTATCGACCAATCGACTTATCGATTTATCGTTTCTTCAAAATGCATCTCTGCGTTTAGTTCAGTTCTCCATTTTGTAATATGTGGCTGAGCCACGGTGCAAGCCTTTTTTGCGTTCTCAATCTTCAGCATAATTCAACTGCACATCTATTTATTAACTATTATTATTATTAACTATTCGACACATTTGTTTGAAAATAAAACCATTGTTAACAAATGCAAATGCAAATGCAAATACAAATTATATATATACCTATATATATATATATATATAAAAGTGTAATTATAAGCTCTAGCTGTAAATTGTTCATATAAATTATAAAATGCACTTAACATATGTATACCATATAGATGGCTCCTTCATAAAATCGCATATTTGCATAAATGTAGCAAAAATAAACAACAAAAAATCCCTAAAAATACAAAAATATATGTATGTAAATATGCGTTAATTTGTAAATAAAGCAGAAGCCGTTCTCCATTTACATAGATATCTGATATGATGATGCTGATGATCTTCATAAGTCGCGTAAATAATTGTACATGTAAAATTAATTATAAACGTAAATTTTTCTAATTTGAATAAACAAATTATTATGTGGGTGAACAATAAAAACAAAAAAAAAACAAAAATAAATTTTGAAATTTTATTCGCACTGTCAATAACTAAAATTAAATGCAATTTATTTGTTTGTGCATTTTTAACTGTCAGTTTAAACAATTTAAAATGGTGGATGCAAGCTTATATTTATTTATGCAAGAACCAAGCTTTGTTGCCCTCAACGAAAGTTTTACTTATTTCAACAGTCTGGCAGCATTTTCCCAGTCACACACAGATGGCGCCACTGCAGTTAACAGCTGACCGTGCTGTTAAACATAACGTTAACATTTGATTATAACGAAAAATTTAGTTTTTGAGATGTTAAAGTGAAATATTAACTTAAATTTCAGTAAAAACAATAATATTTATGCCACTTAGGAATCACTTGTATTTTACATAACTTTAAACAATTGACAATTTTAATTTAGTGCGCCAGCTGAGTGCACAAATTGCATTGTTGTTGTCAACTCAAACTGGATGTTTAGTTAATTTTGTTTATTTTTGACCATTTTGGGCATTTTGGTCAACTGCAAAACAAACACTTGACGCTCCGGGACAAAAGCCCATGTCCGTGTCGGTGTACATGTCCTGTGCGTATTGCCGCTGTCCCTGTGTGAGTGTCATTGATTTATTGCCTGGCATTTTGTGTAGGCCTTTTTAGAGATATGCTATCTGCAGATAAAGGTCTGACCTCTTTGGGCCAGGCTAATTGTCGTTTTTCAATTGCCACAGAACAAAAGGCAAGCCGGAGCACTCTCAGCTGCTGCTGCTGCTGCAATTTGTGCCTCACTTTGACTTATTGCTAACTTATTTCTGTTCAAGCATTCAAAAAGTTTCTAGACCGCAAATTATTTAATTGCAACGTACCCCCCAAAAACTTAGCTGCTGATGCCAATGCTCAAGGACTTTGCCTTAATGCAATAATTTAAGTGCAACCAAACCGCAACTTGCAACTGCAGAGCTCAGGCCAAAGAAGTCATATTAAAAAAAGAAAAAAATAAATCTCCAACAAAAAAAAAAAAAAATAACAAAAAAAAAACAAGGGAAAGAAAACAGTATTAAAATAGATGTGGGAGTTGTTACAGCTCTGGCAACACTGTGGCATCCAGCTCCTCTCTATGTGGTTCTCTTTTTGCTTTTGGTTTTTACCCTTCTGGCATCGCCGGACAGCAGTGGAAACCGAAATGCACTTTAATAACGAAAGTTGCGCCATTTTGAGAGGCAGTCGAGTGAACATTTCTGAAATGCAAAACCTAATTTCGGCTTAAATGCAAGTGCAAGTGCAAAGTATTTTAATTTAAAATTCGTGTCGGACTCTACGTGCCAGCTGTTCTTCGGCCTGGTCATTTTGAGCCGAAGCAACGGGCGACGCATTTTAAATAAACGTAACAGCAGCTGCCCCAAAAAGTGCGCTATTTAAATGAAATACGACAAACTGGTTTTAGATATGGCACATGTCGCACACAAAATTTGTACTCTGAAACTTTAGATTCTTTTACAAAGTCTCATGCTTTTATTTAAGCCAAAAAAGCTCTATTAATTAAAATAACATTTTCAAATACTTTATAATTTCATTTTGTGGCACAAATGACAGTTAGATTTGGCAGCAGCCTGTGTTGCATAAGGTTAAAAATGGCATATATGTTCTGAAAAAAAAAACTCTGACTACGAGTGGCCAACTATGTTTTTGTTTGTCTTTATTTTAGCAGGCAACATTTCGTGTGTTTTCTTAAAAAACAAAACTGACGAATGCCAACAAATAAATATCATAACGTTTGGAGTAGTTTTTGGCTTTTGGTTCAATCTAAATGCGTTTTACAACACTTTTATTTTTATTTTTTAAGCGCAGCATAGCAACAGCTGTTAACTAGCCAACACAAATTACTTTTAGTACACTCAAAACAAAAACAGGCTAAATATGCCCCAAAAATATTCGGTTATTGACCTAAAGGTAACTCCTTTTTTGAGCCTTTTTTCAGAAGTGACCGAATGAGAAGAATTACCTTAATTATCCTAAACTTTTTTTCCACGTTTATTTATTTGGGGCTAAAAAATAACTGAAAAGAAAATTAATTGAAAAGATCAATAAGCTAACCTTTAACGCTTTTTCTTAAAACATTTTATACAAAAGGAAATAATAATAATAAAAAACTAAAGAAATTCAAAAATTAGGAACAATAATTTTTAGTCACATGCATATATATTGATATTTTTCTAATTTAATTGTTATTTGTTATTTTGTTATTTTTTTGTATTCAAGTCTGACTTAAGATGACAACTTTTAGCAAGTAGCTTATTTCTATATTAAATTCAATCATTTATTTAAATAAACGAAATTGCCTCAGTATACCTTTTATAATCTCTCTGGAATTATGATATGTATTGAAGGTATTATTTATATTTAAGTGTATTGTTTTACTTATTTTTTAGTGCAAATAAGTAGCATGACTTGAGAAAACAACTTTGAGTAGCCTAATTCCGAATTAAATTTGATAATTTGTATTATGACAAAATTTCACTATTATACCTTTACATATATAAGTATGTCTATTTATTTTGTATATCATTTGCATATATAAAACTAAGCTTGGCTACATTAAAACAGCTGCGTCATGTGCAGGCTGCCATCTCTGAGCGGACCGCAATGACCGACACGAATCCTGTCCGAGAGCTGCTCAAGCATCATTGCGGTTGGGCACGGAAATGGTAAGCGATTTAAATTTTTAATGCCTGCTGGTTGCAGCAGGTGCTGCTGCAGGCAGCCAGTAGAGTTGGCTAGATGGCACACATTTGGTCAGCTTTTGTGGCTGGCAAATGGAAAATTTCAAGCCTATTACATAAATGTTTAAGTGGCCAAATAGTTGGCAGCAAAACTGTATTGCTTGCAACCTAGGCACACACACACACACACACACGCGCGCGCACACAAGGGAAAGGTCTGTCCAATTCCCCAGTTCATTGCACGCAGCTGTACACACATTTTCCACCAGGGAACGCCAGCGGGCGATGGAAAAACTAACGTTCATATTAAAGTGCCCGGTCGGGGATCTAAGCAGCCAGTTGCTGGCCAGGATCTCAAGCGAAATGGGGCCAGCTGAAAAGTGCAATTGGCAAATGCTAGCAATAGTTCCAGGCCAAAAGTGGGCAAAAGGGGGCAAAAAATAAAAATAAAAAAATTGAAGCCGCAAACTTGCAGAAAAGACAACTCTGGTAATTTGTTCTGAGCGGCTTTTGTTTTGTGCGTCCTTTTTGCCAGCCGAACGGATGGCCATTGACAAAGGATGACGACGGACATTTGCTAGCCTGACAACGGACACTGATTGAGTGTGTGTGTGTGTGCGTGTGTGTGTGGGTGTGGGTGTGGGTGTGCACGTGTGTGTGGGTGCCAAAAGGCGCTTAGCATCCTTTTCTTGAGCTTTCACTTTTCAATTGACCTTTTGCTGACATTTTGCGCATTGCCCGAAAATTTATCACTTAATAAATTTTCCTTACCCGATTCTAGATTCTATTTTATTCTTATAGTAATTGGAATGGTTATGCTAGTGAACAAATATATATAGACCATGTGATTTGTGGCTTGGCTAAATTAAAGCTATCTAAATAAAAGTTTCTAAAGTTGTTTATGTCCCAAAAATAGAGCTCAATTATAGACTGCGAAAATAAGAATAAGCTGACACTGGGAAGTTTCTGTTATTCAATCGAAAATCAGCCTTTGTGGTGGAAATACAATTAGTTAGTGCTTAGTTTGATTAATATAAGATATGTTAGAACTATGCCAAAGCTTTTTAATTAAAATTGAACATTATTAACATAGGCAGAAATCGTTGATTCCACTTGGTTCTTTATTCGATGCACTTAGTAGCTAAAATTTTTAGCACGGGCAAGGCCGGGCAATACTCTCTAGTATATTTATATTTATATGCATGCAAACAGCCTTGAAACAGTCTTTAATCTCTCTATTTACCAAAAATATTTCATAACTACATAAGCTCCAAAAAATGTCAAAAATAGTATAAGTATATTTGAGTACTGGGCGAATAATTCAAACCATTTAATTTATAAATATGAGTCATGATTAATTTAATTTGTCTTAATAATTTTTATAAACCTGTTTAAAAACTCCCATGAAGATTGATTTCTAGGCAAATAATTAAAAACTTTTTGTTGTAAATGAGAGTTAATAGTCTAAGCAATATTATTTTCTCTGTAACAATTTTTAAGTCTCAAAGTTAACCAAAACAATATTTATACATTCAAAAGTGCTGAGCAAATACTTAATTTTTATAGAATCGTAACTCATTTTCACACTCAAACTCTTAACCTCTTTGATCTCAAAATGTGCCATCATAATTTTATATATGCAGTATTATTGCACAGCTCGAAGCGCATGCACTAAAAAAACTTTTTGGTTATAAAATCGAATTGATTTTGATTTTTATCCATGCAAATGTTGTAAAGCAGCAGATTTATGATGCATTAAGAAGAGATTGAAGAATTTTTTCTTTTTTATTGAATTCTCATTGATCTGCATAGGAAAGTGAAGTGTGTTTTGTGCGCTTTGGCTGTTTGCTAAATTGTAGCAGTAAATGTCATAAAAAAGGATGCCAAAGCCGATATTAACGTTTTTTACGCACTTCACTTTGCCGTTCATTTGGCGGGGACTCAAAGTGTCTTAAAAGCCAAGCAGCCAAGGAGCCAGGCAGCCAAGCAGCAGCTACACTTCGTGGCTGCCAAATCCTTTCGTGTAGACGTAAACGTTTTGCAAAATTTATGTAAAAGATTTACGCATAAAATTGCGCGTCATTGAAGTTCAAATGCGGCGATTCAGATTTGTGAGCGCTTGCAAAGTGTGGCAGATGGGGGAGGAACTGCGTCGACATCATCAATATACTTCAGCCATTAAGTGTGGCAGTCAACGCAAAGGAGGCTCGCACTAGGAGCGCAAGGCAACGGCCTGGTGCTAAATGTTGCGCATACGCCAAGTGCGCCAGTAGAAAACTAAAGCGTCGCTATTACAGCAAATTGAATAATATTTGGGGCGTATGTATGGGCGTGAGCGTGACAGCGCACTCACGCACACACTCACACACATTTGCCTGTATGTGTGCGATATCTTATGCATTTGTTTGGCTGGCTTTGAAGTGCGCGCAAATACGCCAAACGCTGCCAACACTTTTTCCTTTCATTTAATACTCTGGGTGAGGGTATAACTGTTTTCTTATGCAGTGTGTCGGTATATACATATATACAAACTTTTTATTGACAATAAATTGTGAATTCATTCATCACGATAATTAAATGCGAATGCCATTGCTTTTCACAAATATAATGAAATGTAATATTCATTTTGAAGCCCATGTTTGAATGATACTTAAATGTTATTTTAACTCCGTTAATAACTTTCTTTAACAATAACTAAATGTGTTTTTTATTTTAGTGATAATTAAAAATAATTTAAATGTAATTTTCAATATTAATACTTTTTTCTCACTGTGCATTTCACTATCATTAGTTTTTTTTTTTAACAATATTCATTATTATTGCGTTTTGCATTGATAATGAAATGTAATTTTTATTTTCAACACTTTTCGCTATGATAATTAAATGTGCTTTAAGTTATTATTACATGTCTGAATAATTACATGTTATTATCGTTATCATTCCTTTTTGCAATAATAATTAAATTAAATTTTCATTGCTTAAATGTAATGAAATGTGATTTTTATTATCATTATCTTTTATTATCATTATGCTAATGACAAATGCATTTCAAAGTCAATTGTCAAAGTCAATCTGCAATTTTGAGCCTTATATGCCTGAATGGAAGTTTTTTATCTTATGGCTCTGGGAAAAATAGATAGTCTAGCCAAACTTTAAAAATTAGCAAAATTCTATAGATATCGGCTGAATGGCTCTGTATAGTTGTTCTTGTAGAAACAACCAACTCGAAGCTAAATTTTTAAAATAGTTCAACTCAATTTTTGCCATATGCCTGCAAGGGTATTTAATTTTCACCTACCGACCGTTGAATGTTCTTTTTTCTTTTTTTTTTCCTTTTCTTATTATTTGCATGTTGCTCAGCTGCTTTTTATCAGCACACGCACAGACCTTGTGTTTTTTTTTTTATATTTTTTGCACGGGTTTATTTTCTTTTATTTTTTTTTTTGTGGCTTGAGACGCAAGTCGCCTAAATCTCAGCGATATATTTTACATCATTATAGCTGCCGGCAGGGTTGTGGTTCTTATTGTTGTTGCTCCCATTGTTGTTGTTGTTGTTATTGTGCTTTATGTTGTGCTGCTTTCTTGCGATTTTATGACTTTGACAGCGCTGCCTCCTGCCCACTCCAGTCCATCTCCCGCATCCCGCATCGAGTCGAAGCTATTGAAACAGATTTCGCTGACGCTTATTTTCCCTCTCACGAACACCTACCCCCCGACTACCTTCACGCTGTTTGCGCTTCCAATGAAAATCATTTTTCGATATGTTATTTGACTGCTCGCGCGTGTGTGTGCGTGTGCGTGTGTGTGTCTGTGTGGCATTGGTTTACCTTGATTTACCCAGCCCAACAAAGCGACACTTTTGGCATCATTATCTGCACGGCATCGAATGCTCAAGCACTTTGAGTTATGCGTCAGGCAGACGTTCAAAAAACATAAAAAAACAAATAAGTGACAGAGAAAAGCGAAACACACACAAAGATACGCAAACATATCAGAAAGTCATCACAAAGATACATACATGGTACGCGAGCGTCATATGCACACACACACACTTCAATGCACAAACACAAACTTTACACTATGCAACAAGAATTTAAATTAATTTCGTAAGATTTTAAAAAAGCTCAAGCTCGAAAAATTCATAGGGTAAAGTCACTTAAATTACAGCTATGGACTAAACTTACACATTTTATCACTTTAAAACAAGAGGTTCTAGTCCGGAGGGCCCGACGAACAGACAGACAGACGGACATGGCTAGATCGACTTGAGATCGATTGGTGCTGATCAAGAATATATATGCTTCCTTCTGCCTGTTACATAATTTGGATTTTGCACAAATACAATATACCCTTATACCCATTTTAATCGGTTCAGGGTATAAATAAAATTAGATTTTGACATCCTGAAAATTGGGGAAACTTTAAACGTGAGATTTAAAAATTGAAAAATCAATATTAGTAATACAAAAGGTTAAACTATAGAATATGTGCAATTGTAAGATTAGCATAAAAATAGTTTGTATTTATGTATATATGTGTTATATAATAACGGTGATATCGATGACTTATCGATTTGAAGGCATTAACAGAATGTTAAAATGTTAATACCAGAGGTAGAGTTTAAGAAGTTGCTCGTTGATCGGGCGTAAAATAAGTTGATTCACACAATTTTATTTTATCAATAATTTATAAATAATAGATGCAGTATCAAAGTAGTAAACATTTATTTTTGACATATAATTGAAATAAAATACATAAACAAATGTGCTCTGTCCCAAAAATCTCTTAATTTTTAACAGAGTTTGAAGCTGGATTCATGAAAAGAGCTGCCTCGGTAATTTCCTAATGTGCAATTGGTTCATGTCCAAAGGTGTGGATTGGCATAATGTGGGAGTGCCAAGCGTTTTAGCTCAGCAAATTGATATCTGATGAGAATTCTGTTTGGATTTGCGTGTGGTTTGTCATTTTTAAAGAGCAAAGGCTACTTTTCCGATTCCATTTTTTTTTCTGATTAGAGCGCAAGTCAAATGTTTGATGTTTGGCTTCGGTTTTCTGTCGAAGCAATCTTCAACACAATCTTAATTTGGATAAGTGCAGTCTTTTACGGCTGCAGTGCCTGGGCCAGAAAAAAGTTCACACATATTTCAGATACTAAACCGATGTTCGATGTTATTGGATAATGTTGTTGCCACATAAACAGGCCGTGTGTGTGTGTGTGTGTGTGTGTGGGGTGTGCTTAACACGCCATTGAACTGTTACGCAACAACAACATATGTAGCATGTCCGGCGCTGGCCCCAGCCCCCCAAGGACAAATCCCATTTGATGTGCACTCAGCAGAAAGGCAACGCCAATGAAGCATGCAAAAGGTATTTCTGTTTTCGTAGGGCGTTTCTCTAGCGCCCTCTTCCATCTGCCCCTTCTGTCAGTCTCTCTTTGTCTCTTTCTCTGGCTGAGATTTTGGCTTTGTTGCTCAAAATCGACAAGCAGCTTTCGGCAGCAGCAACAAGGAGCAAATGTGCAAACATCATGAAAAAAGCGCTGGCAAACACACAAATAAAAAAAAAGGAGAAGAGAAACCCCAAAAATATGCCAAAAATAAAACAAGAAAGTACACAAGGAACAAGGCACAAAGACAAAGGCCATAGCGCTGCACAGTGGTTAAAAAGAGCTAGAAAATAAACTTAAATAGCCTATTTATCAGAGATGTGCTAAGTGGCTTGTTATCGGTGTTATCGATTACATCTATCGGTGCATAATACTTGACATAGGAAGTTTTTCATAACTGTATGTTTTCAAGGGGTACTCAATATCCGGTATATAATTCAAAGCGAATCTAGACGAAGCGTATATTTTGGATAAAAACCTCCATATATTGTAGTAACATTATAGGTATTTAAGTACTAGCGTTCCCTGGCTATGCCTAGTCTAAGATTTAATGCTACAAATTTAAGTCTTCAGTTTTTCAACCATTGCCTTTGGGATATAAAAATGTACTCTAACCGCATTAATATAATTATTGTTATTTTTTGAAAGATTGAAAAATTGCTACACTATTCTTGAAATAACAAATATAATTATTTTGAGGTAATTTTCAATGTCTCTACAAGTTGTTTGCCAAGATCAAGCCAAAAGCTTTAGAGTGAAGAAGTTTCTATGCTGTCGTTCCACTGTGCGACGTCAACCTATGAACGACTTTTGGCCAAACATTTCGTATTCGTGGGCAATTTTATTGAACTTTAATTCATTGTGCAACAGCAAGAGCAGCAGCTGAAATTCGAAATCTGGCGCATAAATTCTTTTTATTTAAGTTCGTACTTTGCGCGATTGCGTTCTTAAATGCGGCTGCGGATGCAGCAATGTTCGCATTTCCGCCTTTTTATTGTAAATACGCGTAAGCAGCTGGCAAGTGGGCGCCCGAACAGGAACGGATGCAGGAGCTGAAGCAGAAGCTGTTGCCATTGTACATTCTACATTGTCCATTGGGTCATAAAATGGCTTCCGGTTATGCTTGAAGTAAGATTAACTTGTCGTTTGCAATTTCTCTTTGATTTGTTTCGAAAAAGGGGACCCGGCTAGGCCAGCGAGGGCTGGGGGCTGTAGACGAGCTTGAGGTCGAGGTTGAATTGTTGTTCTCATGTTCGGGGCTGTGCCTGTTGCTCGCCTTCGGTTTCGCTTTCATCTTGCCCAAACACACCCTACACTAAGCTGTACCAATTTTTTGTTATATGCCCCAAAATATATTTATAGATTTTATTCTTGTTACTTGATTACTCGTTATTCGATTAAATGAAGCGTGTGAACTTTCCCCAAAAATTAAAAAGAAAGGTTAAAGTTTATTTTAGCTTGTTACAGTTTTGTTAGCATTCAACTTTGAAACAACAACAAACTTTACTCGCTGCAAGCACTTAGCTAAATTTTAAATTTTGCAAAACTTGAATGCATAACATCTGCCCCAATTGTTAGGTCGAACAAAGATTTATTGTTACTCGTTAACTCTCTTACTCGTAACATAAAGGCTGTCTACTTGATTACTTGGCTACTCTTCAATGTATGGGCTTATTATTTGGCCACCAATCAAATGGTTGCTGTTTAATCTATAAACCTTACTCGTTACTTGAATGACTATTCAAGTTATTACTTGTTGAAGTTCTCTTTAAATCTGGTTAACTCGTTACTTTTATACTCGTTATACATATTACTGCAATACTCAATAAATACGAGAGTTCCTCACTTGCGGACTCGCTTCTTCATCAGCTCGTTGCTTGATTTGTCGCTAACTCGTTACTTGTAACTTTAAGTCTGGGCTAATGCATAAAAGTAACTGAATAAAGCGTAAGGCAGCTTTTATTACAGCTTTTTATTTTATTTGTGTTTAACAACACAAGAAAAGACTTTAATCTCTGCAAGAACCTTCTATGTTGTTTTTTGTGGTTAAAGTCGAATATAGGGTAGCTGTTAAGTCGTCCAATTGCATGGATTTACGCCTCACTCCACATAGAAACGTGTAATTGTTCTATTCCTCGTTATTCGGCAATTCGTACAAATTGATTTATAACGATTCATTTTGGGAGCAGCTGCTGGGCGAAAGCCCATGCCAGGAAGAAGCTGCCCGCTTCGTGACGAGATGCAGGTGTGAGTTTTACTTGTTCAGAAAATTGTTTTATGTGCTTTCGCTTTTTCGGGCAGCAACCGTGCCGAGCCGTGTGCATTGTGTGCGGCCAGCCCCATTTGCTCAGTGGGCTGGTCTCTAATTCGGCCACGGCTTTCACAGAAGTGTGCTCGGCTTTCACTTTCCAAAAAAAAAAAGAAACAAAACAAAAAATGAAAGAAAAAACAAAAATCTGGCTCAAATGCCGGCACAGCTACCCACTCTGCAATTAAGCCACGCAATCAGAATGCAAGATGAAGGCTTCGCTCTTCAAACAATGGAGGCCATAGCCGCTATGTTGACAAAATGGCGGCCGCAAGCTGCAAAGTCAACAAATGCCGTTGCATGACAGACCTCACTGGTTGTTGTTCTGCTTCTTGTTCTTCTTGTTGTTTTTGTTGTTGTTGGATTACACTTTTAGGGAGTGTTGGTTTTGTGTACCCTGTTTTGTTTACTAAAAGCGCATTGCCCTGGCAACTGGCAGTCCTTCCCAGAAGTATTTCTCGTCATTTCACCTGTCAAATTAATTGACTAGACCCTTATAACCTTTGTGCCAGGTGAAAATTTAGAAAAACGCTTGGATTGTTGTAAATTGTATGCTTTCACTTATGAACGGCTCTTTGATCGGTTTATATTGTTGTAGTTATTTATATTGTTTCAGAAACAATACGCTTAAAATTCCATAAGCAATTCGATGTCGATTTCAGAATATTTTATACATTAAAACCAATTTTATTTAAATTTTATAATACTAATGAAATATTTGAAATATAATATGTTGTTTGTATCTGATTTGGGCCACCCTTTTCTTTATCGAACTTATCCGGTTTAATATTGATATAAATATGAGCAAAACTAAATATATTTTGGTAACACGCTTAAAATTTAACGAGTACTTTCGAACATTATTATGCTAAGCAAGTGAGTAGCAATGAGTAGTACTCGAGAGAGGATTCTTTCTAGATAAAACATTTGAATGGGTATTATCTAGTCGATCTATAGATATTTCATGCTAAGCAATTGAGTAAAATTAAGTGATACTCAAAAAGTACTCATTTTAGAGCTTTGAATTTGAAAAGTGCGCTAATAAACTGTTTACCATCGAATTACTTTACGCTCATATTTGAAACAGATTCCATTTTTTGCTCAGCTTACACATAGCATTTATTTCCTCAAAAAACCAATGGATAGAATTTATTTTGTCTTCTAAAGTACTCAAAAAGTACTTACCGGAATTAAACCGGAATTCCAAAAAATTGTTAATCACTGTAAGCCAAACCTTGAATCGGCCAAAGAAAGGGCGAACCTTAGTCTGAACCCTGATAATTAAATATACTCTTTCTATCAATTCTAAGTATGTTCAGCGTATAATTAAAATGCTAAGGCTGATTAGAGGTGTGTCCAAGTAACTTATGGCAATTATTAAGTTTAGTTTCTTTTCAGTTAAAGCTATCGCTATGAAGTGCTCAATAATATTACTTGGTAATTAAGTTTATTAGAAAGATTTTATTTATTAGCTTAAGCTCAACTTTTACTTTGCAGTTTTGATGCTTTGTAAAGACCAGCACATTACAGGGAGCCCGCAATCCTTTAAAAGGGCAGAAAAATACGTGCATTCAAAACGTTCCCAGCCGCATGACCCTCTGATGTCGGGACACACGTTGGGACGGACGCGGGAAACTGTGATGGGCATGGGATTGGAGAACGGCAGAACGGAACTGGCTAATGTGACGGAGAACTATTGCTGCTTTTGGGTGTATCAGGGTCACCCGGCGTTGCCGGACATCTGGGAGCATCGCAAGGAATATGCATTTGATTTCCTATTCAATGGCAAATTCGTGAAGAATCAGCGCAACTATCAGGAGCAGCTAGTTCGTCCAATCAATTGAACCACTGAACCAAGTTTAAATTAAACCTACGGCACATAGTTTTGCTTGCACATCAAATTATAATTAACTTTGTCCAACCAGAGAGACCTGGCCCGAAAGCTGTCTTCAAGTTGAAAGTCCTGACAGCACATAATAGATTTGACACATTATAATCAGGTTTGCATAGCATCAACCGCTCGGCAGGCGGTCGGAGTCGTTAGCCACAGCAGGGCGCCGGCTCACCCATTGACAGGGCAAGCTGAAGAGCTGGTTGAGATGATGAGCAGCTGATGATAGCTGACTGCCTGAAGGCGCAAAGATGCAGATATCAAACTTGGACTTATTCGGTCACTAAGTTGCTCGACGTTGTTGATGTTGCTGCTCATGCTGTATCTATTTAAAATAGGCAAAAGGGGTATAATGGTTTTGTTGAAAGGTAGGAACCAGCAGAAACAAGCCTCTCCAAGCTCATAAAGTGCATAAATAGTCTATTGAGCTCTGTTCATCTGCAGAAACGCGTACCCAAATACTAAAGGGACTAAGACTTTCAACCACTCCCTGTTCATGAAATCGATCATTTTCGGTTTTTAGATTAGTTTTTTAGGACATATGTCTTAGCTTATAAGAGGCGCTTTATCCAAATTTTAGTATGGGTTAGATCAAGAATAATGTGTCTCTAGATGTATTAAATCAACTTCGAATGTGTGCAACGGCAGCTCAGTGCTGGGTTAAGGGTATCACCAAGTCGGTCATTCCCACTTTTGTTTGTTGTTGTAGTTGTTGGACGGGAGTTCATCAACTGATAAGCAGGCAGGCAGTGAGACTGGAGCCTCATGTCTGGGCATTTACTTAGTTAATTAAATTCAACTTCTTTGAGTACCGAGAACAGGAGCAAGCGCAACTTTAATGTGGCAGGAGATGCGCCGGACATGTCCTCCTCCCCCGTCACTTCTGTGGAGTTGCTTGGACTTGCCAGAAGTTTGCACAAGGTATTTGTTCATATCGTAGTTAAATTATCCAATACCCCAAAGTCTGTTTGCATTTAATCTGGAATTTTTCTCTCCGCTTTGAATGGTAGTTGATAATTGCGACCGGTGCTCGAGTGCAACAGCTCCCAAGTCCAATTGCATAATTCATCAGGCAAGCCTGAGTAATTTGCTGCTTCAATGCTTAATGAAAATGCTGGGAAAAAGATTGAAATTTTCTTCAGTTGTTGGCACCTATTGGCAAATAAACTGCTACTTCATATGCTGGACCTGTAAATTGCATTTTACTCTCAACTGAAACTTCTCTCGAGCAACACTTCAGCTCTAAGTGTGCATGTGTGTGCTTGTGTATGTGTGTGTGTGTGAGTGCAAATAATTCTCAACTGAATCAAATTCAAAATAATTCAAAGCTTCTAAGGCTCTTACCGGCTGAAGTGTTCGTCGGCCAGGCTTGAATTTAACTTACAGCGCATTGTAAAATCGATATATAATATACAGTTTGATTAGTCTATTCATTGTTCTCTTACGATTATAATTATACATTTAGGTGTGAGCTCTGATCGATGATTCGTAATTTATTATATTACCTAGCTGAATGCATTTTATCAATATGCATATTTTGTGATAGCAGCCCTGCCCGAAATGAGTCCAAATATATAAATTTTATATAGATTATAGATAGAGTTTGTACTAAGTATTTAAATATTTTTAATGGTTAAATTTTCGTTATGAAATATACATTTCAAATTATATATCGTAGACACCAAACTACTAGTCAAGACACAAACCACTTAACGCACGCAACGCAAATTTGCGAACCTATCGATATCAGTGCGCACTTATCGTGAGCAGCTGCTTATCGATCGAACAGCTGATTTGCGTTTAGTTTTGCGCGCGAATTGTACAAGTTGCGGTTTAGTGTTGCGCGTGCCGAAAGTAAATAATTGTTTATCAATTTTAATAAGTGTAATTTGATATAAGTGCGTGTGAAAGTGTGTGTTTGTGTTTATAAATCATGTCTGTGCTGTTGGCAGACATAGACGCCACTTGCGCAGCGCTGGGCGTAAGCGATGGCAAGCGCTATCAGGCGGAGCCTCATGCAGCGGAGGGCTTAAAGGTAGGCACACATTTTGGGGCAATCGGAAGCCACTTGAACTAACATTTATTTATAATTATGCAGCATTTAATTTGGATATTGCGTCGTGATCTGGATAATCATGAGTATCGCCGCCATTTGGGACACGCCAAGGTGCTGCAAACAGATCTTGTATACATGTTGCCCGATTATGTGCAGCACGAGGAGCTGGCGGATCTGCTGATACGATTGTTGGTCATATTGACCAATCCGACGCTGCTGCTCTATCGCGAGGGACCGCCCAAAGATAATCACGGGCGCAAAGTGTTCCTTGAGTTAATCGACATACTGCAAGGCTATAAAGTAGCCTTTGCCAAGGATAAAATCTGGACAGCTCTGTTTGACAAGCTCAAACAAGCATTGGAAATTGTAAGTCATAGAACTTGTAAGTTTTTCAAGAATTTAGCAATATCCATGTACATATATATATTTTAAACAATTAATATTAAATAATCAAATGAAGAAACAGCAACAATAATGAGCACGAGCAACTCGGGTGAAGGCACCGACAGCAGCAGCAGCGACACGGATGAGGAGGAGGAGTCCTTCGACAACAGATACTACACCTGTCTAGTGTGTATGCGCACCGCTCGATTGCCGCGCGTCACCTTTTGCGGTCATGTCTTCTGCACCGATTGCATTGGCAAATGGATCACATGGCAGGGCAGCTTCGCCAAGTGCCCGTATTGTCAGTCCCGCGTGGGCAGCAATACGCTGATCACTGTGAATCATGCGAGGAATGGCATACATACCATTGGACGCTATACGCGCTGCAAATCGATTGCACAGCATCGCCATTTTGCTGAATCAATTGCCATGTATGCAACGGTGCCGGAGACATCCATGTTTTTGGGCGCCTATATTGAGCGACCGCCGGAGCTGATGCCGCGCATCAAGCCTCTGCCGGAGCAGTTGTTGCGGGATGTGTCCAAGCGTCAAATACGACGCACCTTTCTGAATGCGCCTGTCTATCAGCGAGCTCTAATTGTGGTCATACTGTTTTATATGTTTGTCGTATATCTTAATGCAGATGGCCCAATCTAAGAAATTCCAGATCTGTTCTATTTGTTGTTGAAATGTTTAAAATCGATGCCCAATACAACCTGTAGCATTTTCCCATTTGCCCGTTAATTAATGCTATTTAAATGGGACTACAGAAGAACAGCGGGTATAGGGGCAGCCTAGGCAATTAACGTCCTGGCATTTGCACAACTATTTCTCTGTAATCTTTTATGGACCTTACGACCATTAATGTGGCAGCGGTCCGCGTAAAACTTTTAATGGCTCTCCGGCAGCTGCCAGGAAGCTGTTGGAAAATTATCTTAATATTCGTGCGAAGAGTATAACAATTTTGTCAGGAAATATGTGACGCTTGAAGATATTTTGGACGCAAGGAATATATACATAATTATATAAATTATGAGCTTTACAATGCCAAGCAAATTAACAAATTCCTTGAATTTCTAATTTTTAATGAAATCTCTTTTCCTCCTTGTTTTTAGTGGTATTGTGTTTAAAATATTTAAGCTAAATCTTATCTCTATCGCATGTAATTTTTAGCTCTCATAAAAACTATCGGTATAAAATGAAAGCTTTGTTGAAGATATTTTAAGCCGATATTTTAGAAGATCAACATAAAATCATTATCTTAGTGTTCCTTTCATATTGTATATAGTGCAGAGAGAAATCGACAGCAAGGGTGTTTCATATTCTGGTCGCTTTTACCCATTTCTCCCCGGCGCCATTTGCTTTTCGTTTTGGCTTATGTTTCTGGCACTGAAGCTGGCTTTTGGTCCTTGGGCTTCTTTTGTGCGCTTCATAACTAATTTGAACTTCATTTACTATCTGTGTTGCATCTATGGCTAAAAGCTATTCAGCATTATATATCTATATATACTTTTTCGTAACCCTTGATAAGCCGCAGCAGCAGCAAAGCGTGCGAAAACCCTTGTCGATATGCCCTTTGAAGTTGCCCCCGCAAAACGTGTCAAAAATAATAAAATGTTAAGGAAAAATTTAATTTTGTAAAAATCACACGAAATCAAATCGACGCCAGAAACTTTTTAGCTTTGCGCCAAGAAAAAACCGCAACAAGTCGAATTTAATAAACACTCTCGCAACAAGGAAAAAAAAAAATGAAAATGCGAAAAAGTGAAAAGCAAAATGCGTGAGGGAAAGTGCCAGCAGGCACCTTCAAATCAAACGCGTCGCTTCCCGACAAGCAACTCTGCGGCTTTTCTAGGCGTCATCCACATGACCAGTGTCACAGTGGGTGCTAAAAAGTAGGCAACATAGCTGGCAACCACAAGAGCAACAACAACAGGAATTTGTGGATACAATTTGTAGCATTTTGTGTGAATGAATGTCTGAGCATGAAATGTTTTCAATTGCTAAATTGTAACTGAAAAGAAGAAATGAATACACAATGAAAAAGAAAAAAAATGGAAGAAAACATGAGGAAAATTAAAGGCACCCACACACATTGCCCAGCGGCTGAGTATTAAGTCGAATAGGAATGATGAAAAAGAATGCGTGTCTGATTTATACAAGGGAAACGGAAATAGAAAATCATTTGACTTGCATGTTTAATGTGAACAAACAGAAAAAGTTTTCAGCTGCCTTCAATAGAACTTTTTAATTGACACTAGACTAGAAAAAAAAAAATCAAATAGATTTTAACTTAGTTTTTCTCCTTAATAGTTGAATTCTCTGATTCAAGCTGCCTGTCAGGGCAGCCGAATGGTAATCTTTGATATAAGTCTTTCTTGTTTTTTACTGCGGTTATCGTTATATCTTTGCAGAAGGCCACAGTTGTCTAGTATTCTTTTTTTAAATTTTGATCTAAATTACTAACTAGAAAGTAAGGACATCTTGGGAACGTTTAAGATTAAATGCCCTCTTGCCAATTTGTGTTATGGTTGAATGTAGTGAAGCTCGTAAATGCTGATTTTGATGGT